ATTAAAGGTTAATGTTCATATAAGGCTATAGGGGGAGGCGACAAGGGCTATTATATGCAGGTACCTATAGATTCTCAGCGGCTATTGTACAGAGGGACCGATTGGCAGTAGAAATGTCGAAAAAGTGAAGGGTAAAAATGTCGAAAGGAAAAATATCGAAAGGGAAAAATGTCGAAAAGAATATACATTAAGAAAATGACTCATTAGTCTTGTTAGAAAATCTTGAAGTAGAAGAAACGTTTTGTATTTGTTATGCTAACACTAACATATGTTAACAGAAAAAAATATATGGATGAAGAATTTAAAAAGTCATCTTGTTTTTCAAGAAGACATTCATGAACTTGAATATCTTCTTTTTCTGAAGGATGACTATCATCATCAATTGTTTTAAGTAATTTGTCATTCAAATCTGTATGAATGTTAGAAGAGCAACCTTTATATGTATACTTTCAATATTTAGTTGTAATTGTTGTTTTGTTCAGTTTCAAAATATATTCATTTGCTAATAATAAAGTTTTTTCTTTTTGTGATTTAATAAATGATATGCTCAATTTTGGTTGAACTCCGTCATTTGAAAATACTGTATTTGTTGCCATACTAATTAGTATCTTGTTAGTTATTTATTTACTTTCTATATAGCCGTTTATATAATCTCTATCACTTATTAGTCATTATTACTACTAGTGGCAACAAATCTGGACTAGTAGAATTATTAAAAAAAAAGAAAACATGCATTGTTCGAATTTAGAGTTGTTATTTATGGGAGACATCGTTATTTCTTTCATTTTTCATTCTTACATCTTTTTGTGTTAGAATTCATTTTTCGACATTTGTCCCCTTCGATGTTTTTTCTTTCGACATTTTTCCCTTTCGATATTTTTACCCAATTTTTGTTTCTTTCGACATTTCTACTACACACCGAAAAAACAGCGGTATCTGTTATTATTATGAACAAAATTTATTACACTCCAGCTAAACTTTTATTCAAGCTTTCATTTGTCTATTCGATAAATCGATCAATGAAGAGAATTCATAAAACTTCGGAAAGGGCCTACAATAGATGCGAAGGCATATATTTTAAGACTCCCTTCCCTTAAAAATTTATCTTGGCCCAAGAACGTTAGAATGAGCTGAATATTTGAGAATATGTTGAGGACATCAAGGGAAGTTTACGATAAAATTCTCAGCCCAAAATTATTTCATTTAAGGGAGATATTCACTAAACAAGATCGAAAAATAGCTAATTTGGCATCCCGAATTTCTTTGTAATGGTTCGTCCAATGTATTAATGTTTTTTTTTTCATTTGAAAGAGCGTGTCAAAATGCATTGCAGTACGTCACCCTTTTTTTGAAATACCTCCCTTTTAATCGGAAAAAAGCAGTTACAACTTCAAAGACTAAAAAATTTGTCAAAAAATGGTAATCAAACTATATTACTGACTTTATACTGACTAAAGAAAAGGAGTATTTCAAAAAAAAGGGCGACATACTGCCCTGCATCTTGACATGATCTTTCAAATGAAAAAAAAATATTGATACATTGGACGAACAATTATAAAGAAATTTAGGACGCGCGTACAAGAAAACGAAAAATGAGAAAAAACGAAAAAGATTTTTGGATATTTCAAAAAACCGCTGTTTTTTCAAAAACTAGTTCTCTGAAATCCTGAAACATTTCTAGAAAAAATGGGAGTTTTAGGAAAAACTTCTATCAATTTTGAAACAGCGGATGGCGGGCTTTTTTCCTATGTGTTTATCTCAATTTTCACAGTTCTCACGAAAATTGACTTTTTTTTGAGGGGATGGGGGGCCTTAAAGAAAAAAGAACTCTCATCTGTTATCAATCGATGGGAATAGTCACTTCTGACTTTGTATAAATAATGCCGATATAGGAATAACCTTCTTGACGGAAAACTCAAATTTTTAGGTAAACGGGTGCTGTAAATTCGAACCTTCATCGAAATCTCTCTCTCAATAGGTAGAGAGCTGCATTGCAGCTGATTATGGTTCATATCATGTGAACTGATTTTTCAATCTTTGAAAAGGACGAAAAAGAAATGATGTAAGCAATAAGACAAATATCGCCATGGATTCTATTATAATTCTATTTACATATTTGTTTTCTTTAATAGTTGAGACCTCTTCTATGAATTGAAAATTATCGATGCATATGTAGTTTTTAAAGACAAGCACTTGAGACTAGTGAGGGTGTGGGTGTCACACAATTAGGTCAACCACACTAACATCCACACCCACACACCCACACCCACACCCACACCCACACCCACACCCA